TCCAATGAGCAAAATTGCCTGGAGACATTTCAACAAACAGTTAAATTGGGCTATCGGCTAACCAGTGTTATTACATCATTAATTTACATAATACTCTTATCTAATGTGTGTCAAATTTTTAAGCAGGTATCAAAATGACAAATCGTTAATTGACATAATAATCTACCTAACTACCATGACTAGATAGCAAGATGTGAGGAAATAAATAATACGCTAAAAGTGATTTGGGGTGTATGTATAAATTTTTATTTTTTTTAAAACCTAATAAGATCAAAATTGTCATTGCATAGTGGTGTAAATAAGTCATTTAATATTAAATTTTAATGTGGGGTGCATTCAACATTTTATGGGATGTTAATATAAAAAACCCAAATTTAATAGGAATGTATGTAAAAAATATATATAGCGTCATGGTTTATAATAGGGTATTTAGCGTGTTCATGTAAGAGAAGAATTGCGTTATTTTATATGCAATAAAGTTAAAAGAAGAAAGCGATGTTTAATGAAAAATTGACTGGAGAATTAATAGTTCAATAGTTAATAGATTATTGGTTGCTGTCATATCATGAAAGTGGACATTTTGGATTTTTTAGGCTGTTCATATTAACACAACTTTTGTTTGGTGTGTTAATTTTGGGCCCGAAATTCGGGCAAATTATGTCGTTTACCATGTTAAATTCAGATCTTTTTTTTTTAATGTTTCTTTATTTGTCTATTTCCTTTTTTTATCTATATTCTTAGGGTTTCCATGGTTAAGAACATTACGGCGAGGGATTGGAAAAGCTGACTCGTACGACAAGTTCAAGCTAGCTGCGTAAATAGTATATTTCAAGTTTTTGGTGTTCAATTTGGACCCATGATACATTTTCAGAAACAGAACAATGTGACGAATGCAACTCGCCACTTTGTTGTGCAATAAGATGGATTAAAAACGTTTGAAGGGTCAAAAACAGCTTTTAAGTTTTAAGGGTGTTTTTTGGAACTTTTGTAATTTTCTAGTTTTATTTCCTTTACAAAGACTATATAAACAATTTTAGGGTTGTATTTTCGTCACCTTATCATGTTATTAATCAAAATTCTAGAGCTTTTCTCAAATTTTTGGTATTCCAGAAACCTATTTATGGATGACCGTTCATGATTCCTTTTATTTGTAACTTGATGTGTCACATTATAAATAGGTCATCTTACCCTTAGGTTTGTAATCAATTCATTACCCCAAATAAAATCTAGGTATCATGCATGCATGCAGTTAAATGTGAAATTTAATTACTTGCAAGAGAAGGTCTTACCTGTAGAAAGGGAAGAGCAACCCAAATGTGAATTAGAATGGCTAAGAACCTAACTGGTTTCTTTTGGATGAAACTACGAACTGTTGACAAATGATGATCATCAATGGTTTTTGTGGAGGAGGCCCTTGCAGAAGACTTGGCACTAAGTTTGGTTTAAATCTCTTCAGAAAAACAACAATGTCCATAACATTAAAGAGATCTCCGATTGATCGTAAGGCCAAAAATGTCCACATCAACGGTTGGTCCCAAATATAGCAAGTGTCTTTCTCGACGATGACCGGAATATAGCAGATCAACGGATCAATGAAGAGAGAAAATGCAGATGATACTATAAAGATAATATCCCACGATGGAAAGAATATTTTTGGTTGATGACGTTGTGCCTCAATTGTTGGCCTTTCTGCAGTAGTTCTACTTGTGTGTCCCCCGTCTTCCTTGGAAGCTTCCCCCTCCTCTAAAGTATTCCAACGACCTAGATCACTGTACAAGACACAATAAACATATTATTCAACATTTCCCCATATATATATATATATATATATATCTGCAGGGCCTTTAAAGAAAAGGATTCCTATTTTTTTCAAAATATAGGGATTAATTTTTAGAACCCACACAACATCAAACTTTAACAATTCAAAACATCTATTTTTCAAGTTGTACTTCATTGATCATCCTTGTAAAATACCAGCCAAATCGAAAATGCTTGAGGCATCTAATTGAGATTCAAAGAATTGGCGAACAATATGTTTAAACATTGAAATTTCATCATGACAATTAAAGAGGCAAATATTTTTTAATTAAATTGATTTTTTGCGAGGATTTGTATATTAATATAGAGACTTAATGAGTTCGATTTGGTGTACGTGGGTCCCATAACTAATTTCTATTTTTTTTATTAAAAGAAATAAGAATCCCTTCCCTTGAAACTCTGTATATATATGAGTGTATACAAGTGTTGAAAGATTTCCAAAATATATGAAGGGCGACCGGTTGAGAGTCAATACTTAGTGAAGGAAACTGATATGTTTCATAAATTGTTGAACAAGATTAGCATTCTCAATAACATACCTTTCCAAACTATATATATGAATTTATGAATAACCTATCAGTTTCGGCCGTTTAAAATTTCGTTCCAATATTTAATAGGGTGTATAACTTATAAGTACATGATAAATTTTTAAAACCCTACAAGACCACAACTTTATTCACTGAAGTGATTTATTACTTCATTTTCTCTATTTTCAGTTTTTAACGGGAAAACGACTTTTCGGAAGAGAAGAAAGCTAATATGTTGAAGATGCGTACTAACGTGATTTTTCTAGAATTGATTACAATGCATGGCTCACAAGCTGGCTGAGTTGTTTTCCAAGTCAAAATAGGATTATGAGTCACTCAAGTCAAAGTCGGAGTATGAATCATTACTTCCCTACTTTAGATTTCTTTGTTGTTTAGGGAATTTTTTTTTTCCTGTTACATAAGATCTATTAGAGTAGAATTAGGTCTCGCTTGGTATAAAGAATTGGATTGAAATAGATAGGTTGTTTTTAAGGCTTATTAAAAGAAGAAATGAAAAAATTGTGATCAAATTGGTGTTAGATGATAAATTACTCAAGAACAAAAGTTATTGTTTCTAATTCTTCCCCAAAATAGAAGGATTAGAAGGAAGAATATTTCATATCTAATTCTCTTCTAATCCTCTCAAATTAAAAATTATTCTCATAAGGGTTCCTTTATATAAAGCCGGCGAAATCTCTACTACAAATACATTCTTTATCTTCTTTTATGTTTGTGTTTCAAATAAATATTATGACTATGCAGAAGTAATCTAGCAGTAACCCTCCCCCTCCCCTCTCATTTAACAATATTCTTCTTTCAACTTATAATAACTATGTCATTTCTCATAGTTAAAGAAAAAGAAAGAAAACAAGAAATGATGTTAAAGTTAGAGAAACAGACGAACCTTATGATTACAGTGAGTCTGCCATAACTCAAGTTAATAAGGAATGCACCATTTAAGATTTAAACTTGACGTGGTCCTTGCTTGTTAAAATAATATCAATGATTAGCAGTCAAATATGCATGTGCATGGCAAACTAAAACTTAAACACCAGTAGAGAGAAGACAAGTGCTGAAGCCCTTGTACTGAGGTGATGCTTACATAAATAGAAGAGAGAGAGAGAGAGAGAGAGAGAGAGAGAGAGTTTTCAACTTTAATTATTAAAATCGGAATTCAATTCCAAGAACGTGGTGAAAAAAAGGTAGAAAAAGAAATTAAGCATAAAAAAAGTTGAAAAAGAATGTATAATTGTACTTCCATGTCCCAAAATTATTCTCTCCCTCTCTCTCTCTCTTTTTTTTTCTTCAGTCGTCAATAATAATTTCTTCTGATTTTTTGGAAAACGATGAGATACTTTGCTTTTCAGTGTGACTATACAATTTCTGCTTTAGTATGGAATCAAATTCTTTCTTAAGGCTGCTAGGGATTGCCAAGTTTCAAGAAATTAAGCTCAAATATGTAGTAAGAAATGAATTACAAAAAATTAAAATGGTGAAATTAAAAAAATTCTTCACGAGAATTACAAAGACATGTAAGATAAATTTATAAATAATAATTTTTAAGTAAAGTTTTATTGATTATTCACACACACCTTTCCAATGCTCTTAGAGGAATCTTCTAACCTCTTCTATCTAATTTTTTGCGAGCAATTTCTTGCTAACTTGACCTCAATTATTTAGGGGTAGACGGCTAGGAAATCCTTGACCCACCCATAACCTAAAAGCATATTGCTTTATTCCTCCCAAAAAAAAAAAAAAATGCATATTGCTTGAAGAGTGGTTCTCCATCCATATCTTTACTTCTCATCCACGTATTGCATTCTGATTAAAGAAAAAAAATTGACAAGACTTGCCACTTGTGTCTTTATACTGTTCCTCCTAATATTACATTTCCGTATCTGAAATTTCTATATTACAAGAGGTTTTGTGGAAAAATTGTACTTGTGTTTCCTATGAACTTACTTGTTCTTCCATTGACGATTTATGTTTTTTACCGTATGAATATCATAATGGTAATTATTTATTCTCTTTATCATTATGTCAAGATCATATATGCGAAAACAAAAAAAATCATCCATATAAATCAAACAAATACATGGTTCATCCTGAGAATATTACTTACTACTTAGACCGTTGATTAATTTGACATGTATAAATAACTAACCACCTGTAATTTAAAACTTAGATATAGTTATCAAGTTAAATTACAACCTAACACGCCTCAACACAACCACCACTCACTCTCGCATTTTTTTTTCAAACACACAATTTAGCGCTTTTGCTTCTGGATATAGCTGTACATACTTTTGAAAATTACATTCAATATTTTCATCTGCAGCGAGGTCAAGAGATTCTGCCAGTTCCATTGGAGGGGCCTCCTTCTCCACTATGGCGTGTTTCCGAAACGGGAATGAGGTAAGTGGAATCGAAATTGCATTCCTTTCAATGCATTCATTTGTTTACTTGTATTTGGAGAATGCAAATAGGGAACTTTCATGAAAAGGGCTTGGACTAAGTTTATTTTAATAAAAAATCATGCTATAACTTTATTTAATATAAAAGACTTAAATTTTAATGCAAAACCCTTAAATTTTAATAAAAAGGACAAAAGAACTTAAATTTTAATGAAAAAGACATAATTTTAATAAAAATGACAAAAAATCTGACGTGCAGACTCACAGTACATTGTTTATGAAACTTACTACACTGTTTATGAAAACTTACGACATTGTTTATGAAACTTACAACACTATTTATGAAAACTTACTAAAATGAAACTCTGAAGGGTCCTCTCTTTCTGCACATAAATCCTTCTCCTCTACATTCTTCTCCCTCTTTGAACCAGACTGCTCAACACCGAAGAAGAGTTTTTGAGTTTTCCTGTAAGTGGTAGGAAAATATTACAATATATAAACTTTAGGTGCAAGTAATCTAAACTATATATATGGGGCTACCGTAAATATGTCTCTAACAGTGTGCTTAAAGAACCAAGTGCACAATTTGGGATTTCGCATTCTTTTGACATAGTTGAGCCTCAACCTTCAGCCCTACCACCCATGTTTAATCCATTAGCTACAAAGGCAGCTACAATTTGTATCTCAGTCTTTGGTCCTGGAGGGCCATTCAGTTTCGATGCATGGAAGAAACAGCAAAGGAAATCTAATTCCTCGAAAAAAGATTCTAATAATCACGAGGCATTGGGTAATGAGTGGCTGCAATCTGGAAGCTGTCCGATAGCAAAGTCATACGGTGCTGTTAGCAGTGTCATTCCACTAGTCGCAAAGGTTTTGCAGCCCCCTCCAGGAATGAAACTCAAGTGCCCGCCAGCAATAGTTGCAGCTCGAGCAGCCCTGTCGCGAACTGCATTTGCAAAAAAACCTCCGCCCTCAAAGATGGGAAAAAGATGGAGTGTTTGAAGTTGGCCCCCCAGGGGGGGGGGGGTGGTTTTGGGGGGTGGGGGGTTTGGTTGTGGAAGTACGCACCCATTAAAATGTAAGGATTTGAAGTTCTTTTCGTTAAGGAAAATAAAGGTAGCGTCCATCCAAAATGGGGAATTCAATTCCAGATTTATCCGGAATCCGATTACCAATATATAGCTGGTCATTGAATTCCGAAAGAAAGGGTTCATCAGTGATCAAACTTTTCTTCCTAAAGTGCCATTGTACTTCTTTTGATATCCCAAAACACCCCTGCAGCTTCAACGCTCTTGCTTCTCTCTCAGTCGTCGGGACTGGAGCTTTCAAGGTCCATCTTCCTCCTTGCCCTCAGTCTGTTGTTTATCCCAAACCAATTCATGTCCCTATGCTTATATATTCTCATTTTGACTCTTCGATCTGCCAACTCCATGGTTAAAAGCTCACTCACTGCCTCAATTGGGAAACTTAAAATTGGGGTAAAAAAATCAAGGCTGGGACATGGAGGGAGGGAGCACGAAAGGTTATTAGCAAATGTGGGGTGGGTTGGCATCATAGAAAGATAGGAAAACTAATAAAATGATATGTTTGAAAAGGTTAGGTCGGCAGAACGTCGGCAGCAAAGAAAGATGGGGAAATTTTAGAAACTTTTTTAGGTCGGGAGAAAGATGGGGAATAGAGGGAGAGACCGAGGGTCACAAAAAAATTGGAAAAATGAAAGAATAAAATTTTTACTACAAAATAAAATAAAATTGTTCTCTCTACTAAAAAAATGAAAGGATAAAAGTTTAAAAATAATTAGCATATAAAATAGATTAGTTAAACTAGTGGGTATTTCAGTAAACACATCAATTTTCATTCTGATTCATGTAAATTAGTAAATAGATTATATATATATCAATATCATTCCTACTTCGATTCTAGACAGTTTTAGTAAACAATTTCAACTGTAATCTAATTCTAATTTCATCTCATTCTAATTCATTCTCAATTCAATTCCTCTGGATCAGTGAACGTGCCATAAAACTAATGATGCGTAGGCGTACAGCCACACAAAATAATTTTTCGATAATCTGCCTGTAGCTTGGGGAACTACAAAAGCAATTTGAACTTGCTACTTTTAACAAACTAGTCACGGAGCAACTATTGCCAGTGGTTTACAGAAATGGCAGGGACTTGGAAACAAAAAAAATACTCATGATCCTGCATGATATCTCGCCTTCTCTGTTTGGTAATATGCTTACCTGTTTGTTCTTTGTCTTGTAAGGAGAACAAGTGTGCCAAAGCCAATTACAACTGCAACTTTTACTGCCTGGTAAGGGAAATGGGAGCGCCAAAAAAAAAAAAAAAAAAAAAAAAAAAAATTTAGATATGAAGTTTCATACTCTTTAGAATCGGTTTAATAATCATCGAGTAAGATAAAATGGTTATCGAATGAACTCTAACATTTTAGACTTTAAGGTTACAAAATGTCAACATATAACTATAGTTTCATGGATTTGATTAGGAGAAAACATATAACCTGCCCAACCGCCCCACCAAAAGTTCCAGCCTCCTCTGATGAAGTCTCAACCCTTGATCTTCTTCTTTGGTTCTCCTCATTTCTATCCACATTATACTACCAAGTGATCACATAAACACAAGGATTACACTGTTAGAACACCAAATCCACCACATGATTAAGTTCTAAGAAACCGCATTATTCGAACTTTTAAGCCGGATAATATCAATCTCTCATGTTAATTATACATTTTTCCTTCGTCACATGAAGATCAGATTGCTCTAGTTGAATATAGGTAAATGCAAGATGCGTAATCAAGATTTTTTAGCAATATAATAACTAATAAGTTACCAGAAGTTCAGCCGAAAAATTCAATACCTCTTCAACATTTTGTGGTAGTGAAAAATTCATCTTTTGATGGATACTTGGATTCTCTCTGCAACCTCCTCGCGAATCCATCATATTTGTACCACTAGTCGTTATACAAAAGTGTATTGCTGCATCTGGAAATATCCAGGCACCAGATCTCTCAAGGGGATCGTGCCTATCTTTACATTTTGCTACTGATGTGCATACATTGGGACCTGTATCTCCTCGAATGTGCCTATCTTCCAAGTTTGCTTCTGATGTACATGCATTAGCACTATCTGAAGCTCCTTGAACGTCGGTGATTTGACAATTTCTTGAAGAAACTTGTACTCGACTCTCCTCTATACCGTGAATGCCACCAGAATGTCGCTTTCCACGGGGTATATCAGAAGGTTCGTGCCTATGCTTGCCAAGAATCTTATCTGATACTTGAACCGTTTCAAATGTTGATGGTTTAACGAAATTTTTGGGAAAGTTACCTTTCTTTATGTCAACTACTTGGTGTACCTCTAATTGTTTGATTTTATTCTTTATCCCAGTGGGATGTGAAGATTTAATCGCATCCGAAGCTCCAGGTAGACTTATTTGCTCACCGCTTTTTTCACCAGATGTTGGCCGAATATTCAAGTCCCCTGACCGAAAAGGATTCACTACCGCTTTTGATATTGACTCTGCAGTTTCTGTACTTATCACATTCTTGTGTTCTTCTAAGTTATGGCTTTCCAAAGGAGCTCCTGTTTTAATCTTATTCGAACGATCTTGTATTGGTGGCGGTTTGATTTGAGGCCTCATATCCTGCGGTCAAAGCAAACATTATTAAGGAAAATTTAGTTCAAAATGATCACTACATAGAATTAGAACAAGTGATTACTAAGATTCGTGCGGGAGCATATACTTTAAATTTTAAATAGAGTGTTCAAAAACATATTTATTATGATTCAGAGGGAGAATTGCACTGGAGTATTGCTTATATCTCACCAGCAACTTTAAAAAAACCTTGTGAATTGACTTGGGTTACAGGTGTGGTTTTGGGTGTATTGAACCTGCATTTTCAGTGGAACTGGTTATTCCTTACATCGGGACCAAATTGGTTATTGGGCAGTAAAAATTGTAACAGGCGTACTAGACGCTTTCCTATAATAGGTTCGCCTCTTATCCACTTGAAAAAGAATATATTCATCTCTTATAAAGCAACATGCCCGACATACCTCGGCTGAGCCGCTTTCAAAGGCGCTTATCATTTTCTTTACACTGCTAGGAGTTTTCTTGATCGGACCCTGCTTCTCAGGGTTTCGAAGCCTATCTTCCAGAAGATTAGGACGATTTGTTGCGCCAGCAGTCGATTGTGAGCCTCTTAATACTATTGAAGTTTTATCCGCAGAAGTGGCTGTGGATTCAACATTAGCTGGAAGTGGTTTGGCCTCAGCCTTCTCAACGAATCTCCCTTCGTACGATTCATTTACTGGGAGCTCAACACTCTGATGAAGATTAATGGCCGATAAAGTCTCTTCATTTCTATCTGCATCACTCTAAAGCGGGTTAAGTGATCGTTAAAACAACTCGCGAACCCTTTCAACCTTTATGCACTTAAATTCTGCTTCTGATCATGATAAGCACTTCTTATTCCAATTACCATCTGAAAACAAAACTACCATTCTACAAAAAGTTTTCTCACGAACTTTTCAACTATAGGATTTCCTCATGCATTCAGAACATCCACAAAATCATTCACGAAAACATAAATTCTAATACCACATAGAAAACTAAGGACTGTCACATTATTCGTTCCTGTTATATTATGCCTGAAGATTCTAAATTTTCTTGTTCAGCAATGAAGATCGAACCTGAGATCTCTTCGCGAAGGTACAATGATGATGCGACATTGACCCCAGCACTCAGAGTACTTTGCACACTGTTGGGACTGCTATTGATCAACTCCCCTTGTTTCTTTTTCACTGCAGATTCTCTCTGCAAGAAAATTCAGAAGATATACCAAACACCAGTTACAAACTTACAACTATAAAAAATTTGATTACAAACTGAAATTGACCATTCAAAACAAAAACAGCAACACAAGACAGTACCATCATTCGGATTTTGTTGCGCTCTTCTTCGTTGAGCACAAACTGCAACTTCATACGCACGAACCCGCCTCCTTTCAGGGGAAACAAGTCGTCCCAAAGACCCTTCTCGACTATCGACTTAACCTCAACTCCTGATCCAAACATGATCATACATATTAATCTTCCTCCCATCTTTTTGTAAACAAAAAAAAAAGAAAATGTTTATACATATAGGAATTGTTTTGACAAACCTGCGTGCGATATCTCATTCCCCTCCGAATCTTGAAGAAGAAGAACCAAATTGTCACGAAGGGTCGTCAATGCGCTGTCCATAAACACAACCTGGATAAGATACGAATTGAATAACAACATCTATGACTAGAAGCAGTTTTCTGATTTTTACAAGGTAAAGTCTCCCTTGTCCCAAGCTTGGCACTCTCTTTTTCCCATAGAAACTGCAATGTGTATTCATTCAGTGACCATTTTGTTAAACTGTTTGAAATTCTAGTCCGAAACTAAAAGAACGAAATTAAGCTAAGGAAAGAAATAATTTCTTACCCTTGATGGATATTGGGGAAGAAGGTGGTGAAGGAAGGTCCATGAACTGGAGAACTGCAAATTCAGCAAAACGTGAAGAAAAAGAAAAGGCTTAACATATGTTAGACTTCACTATTTTTTATTTTTATAAATTAAATAGAGGATTAGACGAGATTAATTCCTCAGCGCTGTTCTACGAAGCGCAATTATACATCAACGCCTTTTCCATGTTTGAATTATAGTTGACAAATAACTTTTAGTACCTGAAATATTGATGGTTCCCGGCATTGCAGAGACAAAGATTTTGCAAACCTCTGTTTTTTATTATAATTTTTTTTTTTTTAAGATTTGGAATAGGATGAATGGTTGATGCCTTGAAGGTGGGAGATGGGATTGGATGCGAAGTGTGGATATCGTTACAGGAGGGAGAGTGGTGTACAACAATGGTGGGTCCTGTAATAACTATGAGCCACATCAACTGGTCGGGCTCCCAAAGGAGGCCATCAATGACCGACAAATTTGAAGGTCACACTATTCGAACCACATGGTTGTGAGGCCACATATACAGAAAAAGAGTTTCTTGTATCTCCTTTTCTTCCGTTTCTACCCGGATTCTACCGGATTGGGAGAAAGGCCGTACGTTGGTGATCGTACACAAGATTCTCTCCTCGATGACCTTCGACCTTTCATTAGTATGATCTCTTAGATAAATTAGTCTTCATTTGAGTACTGATGACAAATTTGAATTGTTCGTTTTTGTGTATTAATATGTGGGGCAATTCGAAATTGAGAGCTCGTTCAATTTTGTGCAAAAAAGTACTACTAGACTAAGATCTAATCGCTTCATATTATGTATGCGAAAAGAAAAAAGAATAATCTATTATTTCGCAATACAGATAAATCTCATGCACAAGGGACATCGTTATGTCGTGCAAAAATTGACATGACAATATGTTGCAAACATGTTGCCCACAATCGAAATTAGTAACAAAGCAATCCGCTGAACTCAACCTAGTTAAAGATCCATTTCCCTGTATAAGATTCTAACTGTTTAAGATTGTCTTTTCTTCATCGCTTTGTTTCTTCTCAGTATTGTTCATCTTGAATTTCGTCCTTCCTGACGTCATCTACTCAAAATGTTGATGTTGCCGGTCTTCAGGGATAGGCGGCTGCGCCCTCACATATCCCATGTCTCAGAAGTTGTAGTAGTTGTTGCAGGAGTTGTCGTAGGAGTTGTTGTAGGAGTTGTGGCAGGAACAGAGGGCTCTTCTACTGCAGGTTTCTGAATTTCAGCGCCTGTTTCTACAGATTTCAGATTCAATGTGCCATGTTCTCCACGATCTCGCTTCTTGACTCCAATAAACATGTAACCTGCAAGATTTCAGATGCAAATCAGTTAATCCTGCCTTTGAGGTTGACTTTTGAATTTGACAATGATGTTATTCATATTGTAGCAAATTTGTGTGATACATCAACAAATGGTGAATAGATCTTTATCAGTAAGAAATTATTCCAAATGTTAGCTTTCCCCGCTTTTCCCTTAACTGATTATTTCTTAGCCAACGTCATAAGTGATGAATATATCACCTTGGAGATCTAGGCTGCAACCCCAACTACTCGATCTAACGAAACTATCAATGCATCCGTTAAGTCAAAAAATAGGCATGTCATTTTGACGATTAACCAAACTGATCAAAGTAAAGGGGAGGGAAAGTTGCTTTTGCCTGGATGGCAGTAGCCCGCTCATTATCAGGGTAGCGAGGGGACTAATCCTTCCTATGGGAAGATTGACAAGGAGCCAGTCGCATAACTCATTAACAAAGACACTCACAGTGCAAGCACATGGACATACACGGAAATAAGAAGCATAGAAGGGACATTTCACACAAAGATTAATATCTTCATAAAGTAAACACTGGCAACCTCTTGTTTTGCACAATTGATGTGATAACCACATAAGTCATTCATCCCAGGAGAACTGCTGTAACAACCTCTAACCGCTTGCCCTGTTCCCCTTTTAACATATAGTAAAAAAACTTAAACCATTTGGATTAAGAGGGAAAAGCCCTAAGTACAAATGGATGTATACTTCCGGCAAGGTTTCTGTCCATCACAAGACAGCGAAGAATATCTTGTATACTTGCCCCTAGAGATGCGGGATAACAGTTTCTATAGATGAAGTAATTTAATGTCAAATTGTCAAAAATATTCCAACTTTACGGCAATGAAATTCAGTATTACTGGTATAGAACTCTGACACTACAGCCATCAGAGTATTTAAAGTTCTTTCCATACAAAAGAAATCACGGTCATCATTCCAGTGTTTACTTACTACCAATTGATTTTAAAAATCAAGTTATTAAGCTTTTCAAGTCCTATCAGGCTACAACCAAGGCCTTCCAAATTTAGTAATTCAAATTTCAATCAGCATACCACATGAAAGCTGTCCGAAATCGGTTGCCTATGATATTAATTGGCTGATTTGGACCATACTATGCCAGTTACAATAACATCCATCAATTCCATTATGATTTGGTCCCCAAAAAACACCTTAAAGGCTTTGCCTGAAAAGTTATCAGACAAGGCGGCTGAAGAGGCTTAACTTTTTCCTTCTCTCTCTCACACTGGATCCCTATCCTAACTATGGGTACCATGAAAAAGAATTACTTCTTTTCGGTAACATGGAAGACGAAAAAGAAACACTAAGGAACAACTAATCTAGCTATAGCAACTCCGGAGCAATCATCAGAAAGAGTTTTCACTAAACAAGGGGAGGCTCCACAAGCTCATGAAACTCCATCTTGCTATTTAAACCCAATTTGGCTAATCCGTCAGCCGCAAAATTACGCACTCTATGAACATGCTGCACATTACAGCTCCAGTTCTCTATGATCAAACTTCTGCACTCCAAGACAAGACCATAAAGAGGCTGATTATTAAGGCTAGGCGAACCATGGATGAGAGAGAACACCAAAGCAGAATCAGCCTCCACAATAAGATGAAAGAAATTTCTAGCTTTAGCTATCTTCAACCCATAAAACAAAGCCCAAAGCTCAGCATGGAGGACTTCCCCAACTCCTTTTTTAGCAATCAAACCAGTGATCCAGTTACCGTGCCAATCTCTAATTAATCCTCCACTTCCAATCACCCCGTTAGAACCAAGCCTAGCACCATCCACATTTAACTTAAAGGTCCCACACGGAGGAGGAACCCAAGCCAAGAGAACCTGCACGGGGTTGTGTTTACTAGAGATGCTAACATTAGCTTTGAGCCATTCAGTAGATTTCCAAGATGCATTTCTTTGGGACAATAAATTACCTAAAAGAATTACACCATCATAACTTACCATTAAACAACAACAACAAAAGATTACCCTTCAAACAGTCCAAGCTTAAAGCAGAATTAAAACATCAGCTCATCAAAGCACACAATATACTCCTCTGGGACAATAAATTAAACACATTACGTACAATTCACTGCAATCAAACTTCTGCTCAGATAAACAAAACCAATAACCCAATTTTCCTCAGGCAATCTAATGGTCATAAAATCTAGGGTTTTTCAAACCCATAACCATAAGCTAATAATCCAATACCAAAAAAAAAAAAAACATAGAAAAAGTAGAACCGAAAGATGAGAAAGCTGGCTGACCTCCGAGAGCAAGATTGGAGATCATGAGGACTCGCCAAATGAACTTGTAGCGGTTGATTGGTAATTCCTTCGGCGGTAATGAAGGCGGGGGTTGCGGTGGCTCCGGCATCTCTTTCTCGGCGTTTGACTGTGTGGAACGCCTGAGATATAGTCTCCTTCCAGTCGTCAACTGATTTTTCGGGACTCCAAGTGGACCAACGATCAAAGATGCGAAAAACGGGGGCGATGAATAGTACGACATGTCGTTTCATTTAAGCGTAAAGAGGCCTTAAAGTTGCTGCAGGGCCTAGTTAGGTCCAAACTTTAAATGGGGCCCGTTTCAGCAAATGTTGTATAAAGCCTCAAATGCCCATATATTCGAATGGGCACCTCAAAAGAATTGAAGCCCTTTTTTGGATGACATGAAGAAATTTTTCAGTGTATTGAGAATACAGCCCAGTACATTAAGTGTTATCATACGAGTGGTCAGATATTTGCAAAAAAAAAAAAGTCAATAACTTTTATTATGACACTTTGTGTATCGTGTCATATTCCTAGCACATTGAAAAACCGCAACCAATTATGAGCTTGACCTACTCAATTTAAATCTAAACAGTAATAATTTCAAGGAGACTAATTAGGTTATCTTTAAACTACCATCCAAACGCGGCTCTTGAGTGGAGAAGATCATCTTTCTGAAGAGACAGATAAACCTACAATGTCATTGATCCCATCTCTCTTGAAATGATTAGAATACAAACTTTGTTTCACTTATTGTGTGGGGGCTGAGATGTACGACTGGTTTTACTTATTTGTGTGGGGGAGGAGCTGAGATGTACAACTGGGATAAGGGTTTTGTCCCGTGACCGTAACCAAACTAAGAGTGAACCATGCAAATCTCTAGTGTAGTCTGAATGCATGTACCTCAATCTCTCTGTTTACAAATATTGGAACTCTCATATACACCCTTCCATGAACTAATTAAACACAAAATACAGAAGAAACTCTAAGTTGTTATTTCTGAGATTGTGTAACTAATCTATTTCTCTGAAGTACTTGACTGTAGCTAGCCTGCAGAGGTCACGTACTGCGCTTCTTCTTGTCTGCAACTACAGCTACCTTTCTCGAATCCAGACAATGTCTAAGACAAGAGTAGTACAATCCTCTAGGTGACCTTTCCAAACTCTAAAAGCTGTATATATATCTCCACTCTGAATCATCACAATCATGATTGCTTTGTCAGTAACCCCATTAAACTTTTCAGAAAAATGGAAAGATAAAAGGAAAATTTGTTAAAAACTGTAAAAAGATCAGTTGTTGCTTTCTCATATCATCATACCCTACAGCCCTAAAGTTCTCTTCGATTTAAACTCAAAATTTAGGGTTCTTTTTCTTTTTTATTAAACTTGAGAATTGCTCATGATTTGTTACCATTTACTGGGGATGGGGTGCACCATAGCTACTGATCCAATCGAGTGTTGAAATTTTTTAGATTGACGGGCCCGGGGATCCCACTTTAACGACATTAATATTGTCCCCAACTTTATCACCTGTCCAATCCGTCAGGTGTGGGGTTTTACCACAAAATTAATGTCTCGGTATTAGTTAGAGTTGAGTAATCCTATTTAAAATCATTGTTTTTCTTTACCCCACCAATGTGGGACTGCTAACACGTCCCCTCACATGTAACCTCATTTAGTGGTTTACACGTGGAGATCCACACATCGGCAATTGAAACTCAGAGGTCGGCTCCAATAAAGTCCAGACTTGTTTTCAATCTTTTCAGAAAGTGATTATTAAGAACTCAGAAGCTAACTCTATATTAAGAGTCTAAGCTTGTTTCCAAACCTATGCTTCCTGGTGACAAGCCTTTAGATTGCACGGACCCTAACCGTGGGCTATGATACAATTAATGTGGGATGATCTGCACCCCTCAATCTTCGTGCCCTACCGCATGCAGTATATGTTCCATTAAGTTTAACGGTCATGTGATTCAAAAGTCAAAATTTTTGTTTGTCTCTACAATATTTCCAAAAGTTATTTTAATTACTGATCTCGGTGACATACGTGGAACTTCAATTTAAACTCTTATAGTGATGGAAGAACCCTAGATCTAGTTAATTCTCAACTAAGATTTGTACCAATTAACTGTGCAGCGCTAGGTAGCAGCAGCACTGAAATCAAACAACAAAGGGACAAAGAGGCAAAAGGAGTAGCGGCAGCACTAGTAGTATGATAACAATTGATCGATAAAATGATAACAAAACAAAACCTAAATATATAGATGAACGAGCAGTTATATAGAAACAACCATTATTTTGGTGAATTCTATATCTACTTGTAAAAAAAAAACACACCATAAGTTCCCTCTCATAAGATCACAACACAATTATTTTTGGCTTTTATTGAACTGATTAACTAATTTGCTTCCTCATCACTGATTTTGGTACTCTCTCTCACTCTCTAGCTTAAACTTAATTAATTGATTTAGTTCTAATATATAGCTAAAGTACTACTACAAAACAAGTACTAGTAGACTAATTCAATTTGAGGATGCATGTGTTGAAATTTATTCAACCATGAACAAGTCCACAAGATAAAGCCATTAGCAGGATTGCAGCTTCCCTCTCGTCCTGCGGGAAAACTCGTTGAAGAGCAGTAGTGGCGGCGGCGGCAGTGGGGGCCTCAAAACAAAGCTTCTTTGATTTGCCTCGAGATGATGGGGATGAGGTCAGTTTACTGTACGGCCTTTTCTTGAAGGGAACAGTAGAACTTACTCTTGATTTATTGTCTTTGTGTTGCACCTTACTACTCTTCATAGATGGTGCGGCAACTGTCAGGGTTGTGTCACTTGCTGCGGCTGCAGCTGCCGCTGCTGCCATTGCCCGCCTCGCCTTCCTTTGCCGGATTCCACAAGCGTTACAAAGTGACTGCAAATTAATGATTAATGAGTAAGAAATGAAGCTGATTCCAGTTGGAACTGTTGTCAAAGATACAATTAACTTTACCTTTTGTAGCTAGCGAAGTTACAATTTGATTAAATGCATTTCAAGAAATAGATTAGTTAGGATTTTAACTAATCAAGTACCTTAGGGCCTCTCGGTCCACTCCTCCAGAGAGGTGTCTTAGTAGTGCTGCAATCGGAGCAAACCCTAATAATTGGGATGCTGTTCATGTTGTTTGATGAATTGTTGCTGCAGCTGATCATTTCGGCTCCTAATTGCGATGATGGATGCTGCGACTTCTGCTCTTCAAATTTGTGTGATGATAACTTCATGGAAATTGGTTTATCACCACTACTCTTAGAACTGCTTGATGTGTGATCAGGGTTCGACATCTTCCGCATCATCCTCATCTTTGAAGACATCCACTTAACTGAACTAGTATTAACCTCATGATCAGTACTTGGATTCCCACTTCCGACAGCTCCATTCTTGGAAATGTTTAATTTCAAAACAGTACCATTGCCACCTTCATTTTCAATGGCTTGATGATCATGATCGCGTGATCCGCCATACGGAACAATGTTATGATCAGCCTAAAAATAAGAAAATAATGATCAAGATAATCAGCTACATATTATATATATATAAGGATGCATAAGATCAAGTTCTAATGAAGATAACTAATTAATAAGCTAGGAAACCAAAAAGATACATATATATTAAGCCCTATCATCCCTTTTTGCTACAGTATCGATTATCCTGAGAAGGGGCATGTGTGTGTATAGATCACATAAATAAGTGTGCACATGTTATGTGATCATTGGTTAATTAGTACCTCTAGGAGTTGGAATTGAAACTGTTGTGGTTCTCTATAATGATCATCGGATCGTCCTTGGACTTGAGCTGGAGTTAAGAAAAGGGGACTAGAAAGAGAAGAAGAAAAGGAAGTTTGAGGTTCAAGATTGAAGTGGTGGTATTGAAGATCATGATCTCCACTAAGCTCAAGATTAAAAGGGGAAGGAGGTGAAAGATTATGATAAGGTGGAGGAGTCATCGATCGAGATCAAAGAGAGAAAACTACTAAAACTTGTATAGTACTCCAATAAAGGTGGAAGAGCTAGCTAGGTCTGAGCTATGGGAGACATAGCAAGTAAAAAGTGAAAGAGAAGCAAAGGGGCCTAAGTTGCAGAGTGGCGTTACTCTTTTATTAAAGAAGAGATCAGCTATAGCAGGCAGTTCTGGGAATTGGCAAAGGTAAGAGAGAGAGAGAGAGAGAGAGAGAGAGAGAGAGAGAGAGAGAGAGAGAGAGAGAGAGAGACGTGTGTAGCTGTAAGTATAAGACATTCACGTGACTTCTAGACACCCAACGGACAAGGTTTAAAAAGACAAACCAGAAGGAGATGTGTGGAATGCTACTACACAGACCCCATATTGGTATCAAAACCCTATCTGCAAAATTAGTTTTCACCCCACAAAACGGCTCCCAGTTAGAAAAAAACGAATATAATATTGTATGGTACCCTAGCAAAAGCTAGATAGTACTGGAGATTGAACTGTGGCCACACAAAAATTTAGGACGGCATATCAATCAGTGATCACTTCACACCTGCAATGAACAAATGATCATCTCAAATATAACCAAATATCATGTGGCTATTGGCTATATAGAGGTTTTGGGAGTTATAATATAAATTTTGGGTACCATTATATTGAGAATTCACCTGAATAGCTTGAAACTTATTCATTTGACAATATGATCGAAGTTTCTAGGATTTGAACAATTTGTAATCATTTTTTGAGTTAATTTTGAGGTGATCTACCCCTTCTGTTACCAAAAAAAAATCTATTGAACCACTCATCCGAGCAAACCATGTGCTCCGATCTGATGGAAGCTTTTATTTTATGTACAGATCTTTTCTAGGGGTCGTGCTGAACACCAACAATTTTGAATTGTGTAGCGTTCTAGTTTTTAATACTTTGCTAAAGTGTTTCGTTTCAATAAGTAAACTAACCTAATTTGGGGTTTACTAAATTAACCTTATTTAACGAGGAAACAACTAACATGTGGTTGCAGTGTGGCAGAAGTCCTAATTTAATTTTGAATTAACTTGTAAACAGAAAATCATTACTGCACACTTTTTTTTTTACGAAGTCTGCATAAAGTAAAAAGAGTGCAAAAATCCCTTCTCATTGTAAGTTTTCTGCAATTTTTTTGTTTTTTAAGAAACTTACGAGAAGAGTAATTCAACTGCAAATTAACTAGTGATGTCATGTAAATTAGCCAAGTTCTATCAACTAGTGATGGAAGGCTAATGGTCGTGACGATCACTGTATATTCTCT